AGAATGATGACCCCATTGGCAAGAATGATGACCCCATTGGCAAGAATGATGACCCCATTGGCAAGCGTGACGACCCCATTGGCAAGACAGATGACCCCATTGGCAAGCGTGACCACTCCATTGGCCAACGGGACGACCCCATGGGCAGCGAAATGTGGAGAGACCTACTCGAGTCGTACAAGGACGCCCCGAAGGCAGAGGACCTTAAGAAATACAACCAGTATATCTTGAAAAACCTGAACAAAATTTTAAACCTCTCCGCGCAGAAGGGTAGGCAGCAAATGGAGGATTATAAAGATAAGTACGAACTGAAAGATGGGTTCATTGTGAACGTCGTTACGTCCAGACACACTCCTCTGCTGTTCAACCCGTCGAAGGATATATACTTGTACCTGAACCAGATAAGCAGTAAGAAGGAGGTGAATTTTAAAAATATTTATGATAATTTGATGACCATTATTAAATACAAGGAGGGGAGTAACTTTTATGACAATCTCCTGCAGAGCAGGAGGATAGCGGGGGGGCTGTGGCGCGAGGTGGATCCTTCTCCCCCCGGTGGGGAAGTGAACACAAGAGTCAATCGATCTGCCAAACGGGTATTCGAGAGAGTGGTCGTCGATGGTGACTTGTCCATTGGGATGAACTCAAACGAGTTGAATGCGTTTTTGCTGTTTATTGAGCGTGGTGAGGAGATTAGCGGTGAAGGGGTTAGCAATGGGACGGCCCCAACTCGAGGAGACGTGCACTCCTTTTACCGAAATGTAAACCTGAGTGAATTCACCCCAGCGGCGGTTACCACGAAGGACCAAATCCACGATCAGCTGAAATTATTAAAGAAGAAGTACACGGAGAAGCTAAAGAACGAGGCAACGTGCGTGCTGGCCTTCCTCTACCTAATGGGAATAAATGACAACGGGGGGAAGTTGCAGCTACCGTATGGGTTCCCCCGAAATATTGATTACTCAGTTAAGCTCATAAGAAAGGGAAAAGATGGTCTATGTAATTTTCTAAGCGGCATACTCTACCATTTGAACCTCCCAATATTTGTGAATAATTCCTCCATATCGATAACAACTGAGATGAGTGAAGAGCTACTAGATTCTAATGACAACTCACTGAACAGCTTCTTCTATATATACTATAGAAATAATCGGAAAATAAGGAATCCCGATTTTTTGTCTAATGAAAACAGGATCATTCCTAACGCCGTGGATAATATAAAGTCAAAAATTGTGTCTTACTCCCTGGGTTCGACGAAGGATGATTTTTACAGTAAGCTTGCCTTCACCAATAATATGATCCGACTTAAGTACAAGAACAAGGATAGCAACATTTACTTGAGGGACTATTTTGACTTTACCTTTGATAAGAAGATTTACAAAAATTCCGTAATCAAGAATAACATTTCTCCGTTTCTTAGTTCCTGTGATTATTTGCTAAGCAACATCCTGGGGGCAGTAGTCGATTCGTTGAAGAATAGCTCCGCGATTGAAAGTGGGGTGTATGAAGAGAACATCAGTGAGAAGCATAGACATTTGATTCATAACACGGTGGAGCATAATAAGAGTTTATTTGAGTATTTTCTTAAGCTAGCCGATAGTAGAAATTCGTACGCTCTTGCAGCCCTGGGGGAGATTTACTACCTAGGGAATGAAAGCTTAGGCATTGAACGGGATGAAATGAAAGCCTTTGAGTTTTGGAAGAAGGCGGCGGACCAGGGAGATAGCACTTCTGCTTTGTCCACTGGGTATTCCTACCTCGATGAGTACAAGAAGCATTTGCGCAAGGAGGAGATTATTAAAACGATGAGTAAGGAGGACGTGCTGAATATGATTAAGGAGGAGAAACGTAGTAGTGGCGCTGCTGGGGAAGGGGCCAAGAAGGACGGCGCCCGGAAGGAGCCTAGGAAGGAGAGCGGTGGGAGCTACTTCGCCTTCGCTTCGGGGGGGACAGCTGCGAGGATGCACACTTCGGTGGGGCAGCCATCCGGACAGCAGAACGGAAGGGGCTCTGCCCCGGAGGGGGATTCTCCGGTTGGGAATTCTCCGCTTGGCGCCCCTAATTTTATGGAAGCTTCCGACGTGGCTTCGAGTTTTCCCAGCGCCCTGTATGGGGGCGGGTCTTCCGCTCCATCTGCTGCATCCGCTGCATCTGCTTCATCCACGCCAATCGCATCTCGCGGCTACGCGGCGAGCCAAGCAGGCATACCTTTTGGGGGGGGCGAACCGAGTCAGGATAGCGCAGAGAATACGACTAATGCGTGGAGCAGCCAAAGCGACGACATTATCGAGAAGTACATGAAGGAGCTGAGCGAGGAGCGAAACAAAGCCCTCAAAAACGCGGAGCAGTACTTCCAAAAGGCCATTCGAAATAATGAAGAGAGTATAGAACACATTTTGGCCAAGTATAACATATACAAGTTCGGATTGGGGACAAAAAAGAACCTGGAGCTAGCTGGACAGTATTTAAAGAAAGCGGCAGATAAGGGAGACAACATTTCACAGATGATGTTGGGCCATTACTACTCGGGGACGGACATCGGGGTTAAGATAAAAGACTATGATGAGAAGAACAAAATAGAGAATTTAAAAAAATCCTATAAGTACTATAGCATGTCAGCCAAGAATGGAAATATAATTTCGCTGTACAATAAGAGCATCTTAATTCTCAAAGGGGTGAATCCAAGTTTGAAGACCTTCAATGAGAAGTGTGAGAAAACGTTGAAGACGTTTCACTTTATTGGACTCTTTAATGAGCGTTTATATGTGTTGACTAAACTGCTAAGAAGGAACTACGATTTTAGGGATTACACGGGGTCCCTTCTGGTATCCGTTATTCTTTCCGAGCTGGGCGATCACCCCAACAATGTGAATGCGTCCATGCTGTGGGATTTGAAGCGGAAGACGATGCATACCTTCACCGAGAAGTATAACCTGGTGGAGGGTCTTTTGGCGGACTACCTGCAGAAGGCCCTCAGGGAGGAGAGGGCCACTGGCGCGGCTAGTGGTGGTAAACGCGTAGCTAACCCACTGGACCGAATAATCCACCGACTGTACAAGAAAGAAAAAGGGGGAAAATACTCCCTCAAGATGAAATCCAAACTCATCGGGGACTCCATTTTGAAAACTTGCACGATGATCACATCGAAGAGGTTCGAAAGGAAGAGCGCCCTTTTCAATATGAAGTTTTGTCTGTATTTGAGAGACGAGTTGCTGCACCGAAGGGGAGGGACGAACAAAGGTGAGAGAGGAAGCCGGGCCAAAAAAGACGAAAGAGGGAGCCCGGCCAACAACGGAGGGAGAAGCAATCGGGCCAAAAAAGACGAGAGAAGCAGCCAGGCCAACAAAGACCAACGAGACAGCCCCACCAGGAACCCCCCGCGAAACGCGTACAACTACGATGTGTACCAGCTGACCCAGGCTCACAAACAGATCGATCTCTTCGAAAGGTACCACCAGATCGTAAAGAGTGAAATGGAAAAGGGTGTCACTTCCCGAGAAAAGATACAGAAAGCTGAGAAAATTAAGGGGACCATTATGGAGCACTTCCGAACTAGTGAGTTCCTACACTGTTATTATAAGCCCATTTCGTATTATCAAATTAAGTTGGAAGAAGAGAAAAGGCAGAGTCTGAAAAGGAGCGCTCAAGAGGGAAGGAGCGGCCAAGAAGAAAGGAACAACCTTCTAGGGAGAAGTAGCAGCTACTCGGGGTACACCCCTTGGAAGTACAACAAGCATCAAATGACAGATTTATACGAAGCGGAGTTCTCTAGGTATTCTCCCCTCCTAGAAGGTGAAGACATGAAAGAAATCTTTTATTACCAAAACACTTATTCTTCAAGCATGTTTGAAGAAATTCAGAGTTTCTCCAAAAATTGCGACATCTGCAAGCAGTACTATGACATATATTCAGCCTACTATGGTTATAAAAAATCCACCATCGATCTGATTAAGAAGTATCGAGAAGGGGATGAGTACACGATAAAGAGTAAAAGAAAGGAGCTGCAATTTTTGATTAGGAACTCAGATGAAGAAGACCATGAGCCTTTGTACTACAAGGCATTGTTTTTGGAATCCAACAAATTGGAGAGCTTGAAAAATATTTTACACATTTATTTGAAGCTAGCTACGGACAATCACAACGCTTGCAACGTGATTGGTGTTCTGGGCATGTTTAAAATTTTGTTTAAGAAGGTCTTCTTCGACGTCAGTTTCTTCTTCGGGCGGAAGAAGGCGCAGCTTATTAGTGCGATTCGCGGGGAAGGCGCCATTATTAGCGGCCTCGGTGGCATTGGTGGGATTAACTGGAGAAGCGGTGGGAGCACCAGCGCGAGCAGCGACGGAAGTAACGAACGTGGCGAACGTGGCGGTTCTGCCCCTGCGCCACCGGCCAACTCGCTCCAAAAGTACATTTTTACCGACATGAATTCCTGCTCGCTGCAAAACAATTTTCTCTTCAAGTCCGAGTTCCACAACAAGTGCTTAAATTACGACCATTTTCTGAGCAGCAACCACGCGTATTCGCAGATCAGCTACCGCGACTTTTTCAAGCTCTTCTACACCGTCGTGTCCTCCTTTTTTAAAGTGGCGTAGCGGTGAAGCGATGAGGCTTCCAGGGGGTGAGGCTGTCAAGCGATGGTGCGACGGAGTTTCGTAGCGGTATCTCGGTAGCGCCGCGACGCGACTGAACGGCCTTCGTTGCTACGCCCTGCGCTGCTTCGCCCCACGCAGCCCCCCCTTCTTCCGATTGCGCCTCGGAGAGTTTACCCCTTTTTTTGGTGCGCCCCTCCGCCTTATTTTTACAACACAGCGTTACCACATCGCACGCGCCGCACACGCCAAATAGAAGTGCGCCTGTGCGGGTCGGTTTGTTCCTGCGCGTGCCCTGAATTAGCCGCGGATGTGTGTTCCACCTCGCGCTTTTTTTGTTTCCACAATTTAGGCTTTTGTTCGTTTCTCGCTTTAGCGTTACCGTTTCCATCTTCACTTTTTTTTCGCGTACTTTTCTCTTGTTTTTTACTTTTTGCTTTTTTTTTTTTCTTTTTTTTTTGTGCTTTGGATTGCCAAGCTGCCACCCCTCGCTGTAGGCCACCCACCCCCGTGTGTACGCACAACGACCCCCAGGCCGATTTTTCAGCGGGTATCTTTGCTTTACAATTTGTAGAAGACGACGCGTTTTGCGTCAGCCATTCGCAGTCACGCCCAGTCACGCGCATTTTTATTGTATATATGTATGTATTATATGCACGTACATATGCGCACGTCCGTAGAGTAAATGTCGTTATGAATTTAATTCTTTAATTTTTTTTTCTTTGTTCCGTTGTTTGATAATTAATAACTGTTAAATTTTGGGAAAAAAAAAAAAAACAAAAAAAGATCCAAGTACAAGGGAAGCGGCAGGGGCGAACTGGTCAATCGATCCCCCCGCGAGTGAATCTTCCCGGGGTGAAAAAAAATGTGTAAAATGGGCCAAAGGAAAATTAGCAATTGTAGCTTTCAAAATTTACAGACAATGTATTTGCGGTTAATTGTGGAAAGACAAGTTGGAGGAAATTTGTTTTTCACAAAATGGGTAGCGAAATGGGGAAATAATTGTGGGGAGGTTTTGAGTACGTGGGGGAGCGAAGCGAAGAGGATTCGCCCCATGGTAGCTCTTCAAACGGTAAACGAAACTGACCTTTTATGGAGCCCATGATCCGATCGCACTAAAATTGCGGTTATGTTGGGTGTGTCTCAGTTGTGCCCGTATAGTTCATGTCTGCTGTTCCCGTATAGTGGACGTCTGTTGTGCTCTTATAGTGTTGGTTTGTTCTTCCCCTGGAGGGAGAGACTCCATCGCAGTTGCTACTAATTTTTGTGCGGCTTCTTCTTGGCGGACTTGGCATTGCGCGTCCCGCCCTTGGAGGCGGTCTTTCTCTTCTTATCCTTTAGGACAAAACTGGTATTTTTAAACTTCTTGGATGAGGCAAGGTACTCCTGCACGTTTTCCTTTTTCACATTAATTTGGTAGTTACTTACGTCGTTGGATTGGCTGTGCCGATTGACCTGGCTTATTTGAAGCATATCTGTGTTGATTAACATGAGGGTGGTGAGAAAGTTTCTACACACTTGGTAGGGCTCCCTATGTTGGATGAGATTGCAGAGGGGGATTTTTTCTCCGCTGTTAACGGTATAATGGATGATGTTTTTTTTGTACACGTCGACATCATATTTGGGGTGGCTCCTGAGGAGCTGCAGTTTCTCTTCAAGGAAGACGTTCCATTTGTTGACTCTGCGATGGGAGGGAAGTGGTTTTCATAGAAGGGGAGTGCATAGAAGGGATGTCCATAGAGGGAATGTTCATAGAAGGGGTGTGCACGGGGTCGCCAAACGTGGCCGCACCGCGCACAATGTGATAGTGAAGAAACACCCACCTGTCGTGAATATCGTCATCGAAGGAAGCGAAAAACGCATCGGACGAGTCCTTTTTCTCAAAGACGTCCAGCGGAATGTCATCAATCATGCCATCTAGCATGCCATCATTTAGGGATCGCACATCTAGGAAGTTTTCACTGGTTAAATTGCAATGCCCCTCGGCGATTGTGTTTTCTTCATTCTGATCATCGACGTAATCTTCGTCCTGCAAAATGTCCAAGTCGTAGTTGTTCTTCTCGTCAAACAAATCCAAGGAGAAGTATTTTTCGACGTTTTTTTTTTTCTTCAATTCTTTTATTAAATTGTAGATGAGCGGCTCCAAATGGTAGTAGTCGAAGTTGAGACCCAGCTTTTGTATATAAATGTCTGGGATTTTTATTTGTTCAAATAGCTTCTGGTCGTTGGAGCGGGGGGGAAGCGTGTCGCGTAGGGTAGAGGAAGGGTCAACGGGAGGAGCAACAGCTCCGCTTGGCGAGTTCGCACCAGATGTGCTGTCACATTGCCTCCTCTGTGATGTCTCCCCACTTGGGGGGCATGAAAAATATTGCCTCTCCGCGTTTCGGGTGATAATATCTATAATTTGGCTGGGCTGCATGTAGGTGAAGAAATCCTCCGCATGTTTGATATTCTGGCAGTTAAGCATATAATAGTGTGGCAATTTCCTTTTTATTTCATTTTTTTCAAACGTCGGTGTTCCCATTCTGTCCTTGTCCATGTGGGCATTCTCGTCCAAGACGTACAGGTACTTCTTCTGTTCTTTAAACCTATTCAATAGATATTTTTTGCTTTTGATGATGCCTAGGGCGAGGTCATAATGGAAGAAATCACTCTTAAATAGGAAGACGTCTGAGCATAATTCATCATTCAGGAGGTCATTAAAATTGTAAGCCTTGTAAATGTCGTTCACCATCTTTTCCCTCTCAATATATTTGCTCAGATTTGCGGGAGACAAATATGTTGAATGTCTGGAGCAAGAAAAGTCGTACTTTTCAAAGAGCATGGAACTGTTTTGGTTTAAGATGGAAAAGTCGTATTGGTCATTTATGAAAACGTTGTAGTCGTTAATGTCTAGGAGGAGAATTCCATCGTTTTCTAGGTACATTTTGTCGAAGTTTAGCGGTTTTATGGAGTTTTGTTCAAGTACCTCCTCCGTTTCGTCGGTTAGACGGTCATTTTTTTCATTCGTCGATGCCGCGGTCGCCGCGATCGCCTCGCTAATAGCTCCTTCATTTTGCTTTGACATGCTGGAGTTCCCCTTTCGATCGTCACCGCCCCCACCATCAGCGTTGAGGTGAGAAACGCTCAAGTCGGTGCCCAGCCCACTGTCCACATCCATGTCTGTGCCTGTGACAGTGGCTGTAGCCATGTCTGCTCTCATTTCCACAGAGCCTTCCTTCTTCTTCACATTTTCAGAAAACAGAAAAGTGGGTAGTGGAATTGTCTTGATGAGAAGGTCGTCCTCCAGGCATGACTCGTTCTCCCCGGGGCAACTCTTTAAATTCTTTACTTCATTAATGAAGAGATACTCCTCCTCGTCGGACATAACGATGTGCTTCTTTCCTGCATTGCTATGTTTGTTGTCTTTGTAAATATTGTACAGCGTGTTATGAGCCAAATTGTGCAAGTGCTCGATTTTCAGGCCGAAGATTTTGACGCAGTTTTCCACAAAAATGGCCGCTGAGGTGAAGCTGTTCGTCACGTCTCTGTCCCGGTCCTTTTCCCCTTCTTTGTCACTCTCCTTCTCCCTTTCACCTTCGTGTATTCCCCCTTCTAATTCCTCCAGCACATTTCTGTCCAGGCAGTTGAGAAACTCCTGGATGGTCCTCGCCAGGTCGAAGTTTATCGATTCGCTCGTGTTGTTGCATTTTTGGAGATTCTGAATGAGGACAGTCAACTCGTCGGGCGTCGACATGGTGCGCATGGAAGGGGGGAAACGGACAGGGGTAACAAACGGGGGGGAATCTCCCACGTGGTGGTTCAGGGCTGATGACACCTCTAGTCGCGTGAACAAGTGGGAAGATAAAACAGGCTACTTAGGTACAGAGTGGACACGGAAGGGAGCCCGATGGGGCGCATATCAGTTCCGAAAAGGAACCC